GCTGATGATTGTAAACTGCAATAATTAAAATGATGATATTATTGGTTCCATAATGATAATTTTAATCTAAGAAGCACTAATGGCAGTATAAAGTAGACATTATTAAACAAGTAGTAGCATGGTTGATAATAAATACTGACGATGATGTCAATGATGATAATAATGATATTTGTGTTGATAATGATAATATTGACGACCGTTTCTTTTACAAAAAAAAAAAAAAAAAAAAAGAAAAAGAAAAAGAAATCATAATCTTTGACACTTTTTCTACTATGATCGAGGCTATCCATTTTTAATACCGAGTAAAATGATTCGAAATTTAAAACTAACTTTAATTTGGTTGATTCATTCATACATCTGTCATTTAGTCTGTTACATTTAAATAATATGCAAACTATTTTTATCTTTGATTTTTTTCAATCGGTACTACGTTTATTTTATAAATAATTCAGAAAAGATCAAATTTCCATTCTTTTTTCTAACATTTTTTTTTCTATCAAATTTCTAAGATTGAATTTCATCTTATCAAATTTCTAAGCTCTTTGGCAGATTTAACCTTCGAACTATGTCAGCTAATTACACTCAATAATCAAAAACATACAGGAAGTTCTTTTTGATGAAAGCTTAAAATTGAAACTTTGTTAATCTCATGTTAATGTTAATTTAAACAATCATTTATAAAACTAAATTTAAAATTCTACATTCATTAACTTTTAAAATATAAAAATTCTTTTTTTGATCAAAAGAAAAGAACTTTAATATTTGATTAATGTAAATGAATGAATCAAGAGTATTATTGTTTATCATTCATTTATTATTGGCTATTTAAAATTCTGATCAAATTTTGTAAATTTTATTCAGCTCAAAAATATGATAAAATTGAAATTTCAAATTTTATATTCCTTTTATTGCTTCAATATCATATTATTGCTAATTAAATATGCGCATATGGAAGGAAGGAAACAGACAGAAAACATCTTAGGAAAAATTTACAGCATAAGCCTTCCTCCCATCAAACATTTCACCTTTTTTTTATTTTTCCTCTTTCGTTTTTTTTTTAATTTTTCATCAACATATATCATCTTTTACATTTTGACATGTTTTACATCCTTTTAATGACTAATTTTATACATTTAAATTCTTTTTTTTTCTTTTTGTAGTTGCATAATTTGATTGTATTTGGTTTATAACACTTTGATAAGATATCGTTTTTTTTTTCCCCCCCTTTGCAGTATCCAAATGATTATAATTAATTAATGATATTAGAAAATAATCAATTGATACTTTATGAAAGGGAAGAAATGAATAGTAAATTTTGTTAAAATTATTTTTTTTGTATTTCTAATTTTTGAATTTGTTTTTTTTTTTTAGATATAAATGTTAAATATCAAAAATTTCCGTCAAATATTTTATAAAATTATTTGAAATTTGAAGCAAATAAAATACAAACAATTTATTTGCATCCATCAATTATCAATTTGCTCAATGATCTTATCCTTAGCCTTAAGATTTTTCATTTTATTTGTTAATCATTTCTCGTAGAAAATGTTTTGAATTCGATATTTTACTCGTCAATTTAACTTTGTAATCTTTCTCAACCATTTTTTACTTACAACAATATCTCAAATCTTAGCAATAAAAAGTATAGTATAATTTATCATTTTATTAGTAATATATTAATTATTATTTTAATAAATGAGTTCTAGTTAGCTATTACTTCAGTAAAGTTTGAATATATTAATTATTGTTATTTTTTAACAAATTAAAAAAATAAAATGTATGTCAATTATTATTATAATAAATGAGTAAAAGAATAATCAAATTTTTTCTTTTTTAAAATAAAGATTTTCGAATCCTTTTTGTATTTTCTTTCATTGTATTATTAGCAATTTTATAATTTCATTAAAATAAAAATTTTCAAATTTTTCTTTTTGTTCGTTAAATTTTTAATAAAATTGTTGAATGTTTTTTTTTCTTTCGCCAAAAATTTTATGAAATTATTAATAATTTTTCCAATTTACTTCCTACATAATTTCTTATTCAATTTTCTTTTTTTTTTCTCTCCTCTTCTTTCTCTCTCTTTTACTTTCAAAATAATTAAACTTGAAAAACACCTGCATTGGTTTAAGCTAAAAACATATCGTGCTTTTTTTTTTACTATTTTTCACCTTATCATACATTCTCTTTTTTCTTTTAGCAATTTAAAATTAATTAATTTCATTTGATAGCATACGAACAAAAATAATACAATTGGCATAGAAAAGAAAAAATTTTCTAAAGTGGCGGCGCAAATGACGATAATTTATGGCGCAAAATGTGCAATATTTATGATTATATTTTAATTAAAAAAAAAATTATTTTATGAAAATGAAATATTTTCGTGACAAATTTATTGCACATAAAATAAGCCTTTGAAATTAAAATTAAAAAAAGAAAACAGAAAAGAATGAAAAGAATTTCAACTATTTCAACACTACTAATATATAAAATGCTATGTGAGAAATCTTATCATTAATGATAAGATATAATAAATATGTATTAAATTAAATAATTTGAAAGAAAGAGTGAGAGGAAGAGAGAAGAAAAAAAAGAAAACTATAACAAAAATATGTTTATCAAATTTTCTTTTTTTTTTATTGATTATACGAATTTGATAACAAAAATTTTTATGA